CTTTCCAAGGTTGGCCACAGTATTTTTGGACCATTTTGTGAATTTTTGAAATTTTTGATTTTTTTTTTCGGAAATTGAATTTCTGAGAATTTCATTAACCGAGGATTGATTTTTATGAATTTCTGAAAATTTTAATGAATTTTCGAATTTTTTAGATTTTTTTAAATTTTTCACATTTTTTATTGGTATTTTCTGAATTTTCAGGATTTTTATGGATTTTCTAAATTTTTTAAAATTTTTATGAAATTTTCTAATTTTCCGAAATTTTTTTTACGTTTTTCAGATTTTAAAATTTTTTTGAATATTTCAAATTTTTTATTGATTTTTCAATTTTTGTAGATTTTTTTTATTTAAATTTTCCAGTCGAGAAACGAACCGGACCGGCCCGGTTCAACCCGGTTTGACTTGGCCAAACAGGGCCTCGCCGGCGCCGGCGCCGATCGTCTTCTCCGGCAAGCATGATGCCCAAACGACGCCGTTTCTGATTCTTCTCATTGGGGCATTTGGTCAAACAGTTGGTGGGCATGGTTTTATGTTGCACGTTTTCAAGGCCACCGGTTTGAGCTCATCGCCGACGAGCCTCCGGTGACCTTTATGGCTAATTTTTTGGTTCTGTGTCAAGTTCATATCATCCTCTACCAAACTAGATTAACTGAATCGCCGTCGGACCTTCGCCGGCCGGTGAAAAACCAGTCGAAAAAACCTAACTTGCAACTTGTTCTAAACTAACTAGCCGAACCTTCGAATCACAATATAGAACGCCCTAGCCATCTAACTCGATTCTAATCACTAACAAAGCATCAAACAAGGTTGAAGGAAGCTAACTTGACAGACTTATGGCCACGGTGATGCTCCGGCGACACTGTTCGAGCTCCGGCGAAATGGTTTTCATGCATGGCCGACTCGGTTTGTGTAAGTTTAACACCCCAAATGCAACGAAACAATACACATGATGATTAGAACATGTTTTAAGCATCAAACGTAACAAAACCACAAAGAAACACACAAGTTTGAGCTAAAATTTATTCTGGAAATTCTGGAAAAATATGATGAAGATCAAACTTTACTTGTTTCGTCCGGGATTGAAATGTTGTCCTTGGGCTAATCGGCCACCGTGGAGGTCTTCCTTGACACTTGATCTCCAAGTTAATGGCTTCGGTTTCGTCGGGAAGGTCCTGGATCAACCGGCCGAAGCTCGGTTTCAAAGCTTCACGGTCAGCTCGCCACTGGTCACCCGAGGAGGAGATCCTCCCTAGATGGTCGATTCGCCGGCGCCGTTAAATCGACCGGCGTCGATCACTCGATCTGGAGATCTCCACTCCTCTTTCTCTCTAGATTTCATGCTCTCTCCCTGTTTCTCTCTCTTTTTCCTCTCGGAAATTTTCTCGAACACGTTGTGTCCATCACCTTCAGTTTTTCTTCCTTTTGTAGCTCGATTTCCCGCCCAAAATTGGTTATCACCGACCTCCAAATCGGTTGTAACGAATCTCAGGTTCCAGCTGGAATTGGAGTTTAACACGTGCTATATTGATCGGATTAAGTTGGTAAAGTGGCGGGGTCGAAGATATTTTTGGGTTTATTGCACGTTTTGGGCGAGTTGGGCGAAGAAGACGGGTTTTCGGGTCGGGTCGGGTTGACTCGGTCGACTTGGAAAGCCCGATGTTGACACCTAAATTTTGGCGTATCATTTAGTGTAATTTGCATAGAAAATTAGGGATTAAATTTTTATCCCCTAAACAAAAATATTTAAATTGCATAAACATATAGTTTAGGTCCATTTAATTTAATTGCATTTTTTTGCATCAGATTGGCAGTGGCGAATGAGCTTAAAATTTCATCGAACGAGATTCGGCTCGCTCGGAAGGCAAGGGCCGGGAATTACAAGTCAAACGGGTTCGGTTGTTTTAATTTGAGCTTAATTCAGCCCATTATCCTTAATTAATTCAGCCCATTTAAATTAAATTAAAATCTAAGCCCAAGCCTAAGCCCATTAGGACTAGAGAGCCCATCTAATTGACCTAGATTAGTGTTATATATACATCATTAGGTCAGGATTTTAGGGAGGACACACAATTTCGGACACAGTTTTTCAGATCAGAATTTTCAGAGAGAAAAAGTGAGAGAAGAAAAAAAAAGAAGAAGAAGAAGAGAGAGAGAGCCCCGCTCCCCGCGCGGCCGCACGTTGCCGCCCGGAGCCCCGCCGCACCATCTCACCGCGCCACTGCTGCCTCGTGATTCTGTTCCCCGCGCCGCCGCACGCCCGACGTCGCATCATCTCCGTCTGCTGCGTCAACCGCCGCCGCTTGCCCCTGCTCACAGCCATACTTCTGGCTATGAATCACTTCTGCCCCGAAGTCAACACTGCCATGCCCACGTTGACCACTCCAACGTCAGTCCACGGAAGTCTCACGTAGAATTCACGTCTACAAATTGGGGAGAAGGAGGAGAGTTGCACAGGGACTCTCTAAAGACAATGAGAATATACAAAAGAAGCAATGTGGCGGTGTAGTCTTGAAGAGCAAACAGGAAGTGAAGATTGAGTAAAGCAAGTGAAGAGCAAACAAGACATTGTCTAAGATTCATCTTCTTGTTCTGCGACGTGGGGACACCAATATTGACGATGCTCCCTGCGGTAAACGAGTCTTGATCAGTGGAGGTTCTTTCACTCCTCCGGTGCTCATTCTTCACGTGTTCCGAGACTTTGCTGCGACGATCCCCTCACGCCACCACCGCGCGCTCCACCGTGCCCGTTGCCGGACGCCACCGTGAGCCGCCGCGCCGACGCCGCGTCGCCCGTCGTCTGAGTCCGATCCCGATCCGCAAACTCGATCCCGAGTCGATTTGAATTTGGGAATTATCTGCAAATTAGGTAATTCAACATTATCCGATATTTTCAGAATATTTAATTTCCTAATATGGGTGTTTGAATATTTCGTGAATATCATGTGGATATTTAGATATCTTAGGATAGTGTTCGATATATCCGTAATATTTTTAAATATTCAAAATTAGGAAAACTTCCTAATTTAGCAACGTATCTGGACGACTATCCGACCTTATCCCTAAGGTTCGATACGCGGTGATACGGAAAATTATTATCCTATCCATAACCACTTGGGTACGATAATGATTTTTATCCGCTTTCCGTCGATATCTATAACCCTATAGATATGACCGATAGTTTGATTTTTGTGCCTAATCCGAGTTTGAAACAAATATGGCGGATCCCGTGGACGTTTTGAATGTGGTTGCTATCCTTGTTTATTTAATTGCTTTCCTTTTTCAAATAAACAGAAAATTCAAAAAATATTAATTAGATTTGAATTAGAGTTTTTGCATGTTTAGGAATCCTAAATATATCTAGAAGATAGAGTAGTTATTTAATTTAAATTAGGACTTGAGATGATTTATTTCCTAGTTTAAATTAAGTAATATTCTAATCTTAATAGATTATTCAGGTTATTTTATTATTTCGAATTTCCATGAAAATCCCAAGAAAAGAAGAATGAATTGTTTTAGGATAGATTAGGATAGATTGTATTCTTAATTTAAGTAATTCATTATTTCGAATTTTAACAAAAATCCTAAAAAGGAATCATGCTAGGGTAGATTAAGTCATCATAGTTTGCATGTTAATTTAGGCACTTTTATTATTCCGAATTTAAATTGAAAAAATACCAAAAATAATCATTCGTCCTGTCATTAGAAATAGGTCACGTCGTCGCACGACATATAGTTTGCATGCTAGGTTGCATTAATCGCATGTCATTGCATATAGGCTAGATTTCATTTAAATAAGTGAAAATCCCAAAAAAAAAGAAATTGAGTGAATTGCTTGTTAATTAGAAATCATATTAGGGTGTCAATGTGATTTTCTAGCTAACAATGCAGATGCTTACGTTGCTTCCAGGTAAGTAATTCTTCCAAACTTGCAATTTATTTAATGCTTTCTGGGTGTTAAATTGGTGGTTTGCGCACTCGCATGAACACCTCACATGTTAGTAACTAAGTTGAAATGGATCCAAACTGCCTGCCAAAACATTTTTGAAAAGAAAAGGTACCGAAAGGGCGTTAGACCAAATCTAGCGTAATCAAGTCCCCGGGCTTAGAATCTCTGGTTCATAGGAATAAAACATATCTCCCTATGTTTTATTTAGGTTTCTAATCAACCTACCATAAATTGATTAGTGGCAACTCCGAGCATAAAAACTTTTGCATGTTAAAAACTTAAACCCTAAGTTGCGAATTGGTAGGGCTTGGGAGGGCCCGAGTTAGGCTTAGTCTTAACAATCCATTAGCCTGAGAGGAATTTTAGGTCGCGACAGCTTGGCGACTCCGCTGGGGACTTGAGTTAAAACTCTTAGTGGACTTAGGCCAGTTTTTCTTTTCAAAAAATATTTTTGTTTGGCAGCGAGGATCCCAGGTACGTCCCTAACATTTTAGGTGTTAAATGTTTTTGCAGAATGGGAGGTATAAGGGGAGGCGTGATTGTTAACCCTTGTTTTGCAGGGAGGTGTTTGGATGTATGGTTTATTTTATGCACGAAGCGCTGTTTGATATAACATGTTGTGCATGCCTTGCATTTATACTACACCGCACACACTACCCGCTGCCGGACCTGGGCGGCACAGGTTTAGGATGGTACTGAGACAGCGGACACCCCGACCACACTCGCGTGGTACGGGTCGCCCTCCTTGGTCCCGAAAGTTCTTTCATGGTGTCATTGAGTTCCCACCACGGTTGCACCCTTTGCAACCCGGGTCGGCTCCTTGACTAAGCCGGAGTAAGGGGAACCCCGGCCTAACCACAACCATGACTGGTTTAGCCCGGTAATCCTCGCGTCTCCATTTTGCAAGCTAGAGTCTAGATAGAAATCGAACCTCACATTTCATGCGCATGTCTATGTGATTGTCATGGTCCTATCGGGTAAAGTAACTTTTCTGAACCTTTATTTCGCAATTTATCTATGTTCCGTATTTTCTTTGGTCGGTCCATGACATTAGGTCGGTCGTGAGTCTTGGTCTATATACTATGGGAGGGGCAGACATCCGGATTCTTGATGCTCCTAAGGACGAGCTCCGTGCCTGGTGGAATCTACTTAGTCCGACCAACCGCAAGCTAGTTGAGGGCCACATCGGGAGGCTGCTCCCCCTACTGGAGGTCAAAGTCCGTACCGGCCTCGTTCGAGCATTAGCGCACTTCTGGTGTCCCGAGACCTCTACCTTTATATTCGGTAAGCACGAGCTCACCCCGACGTTGGAAGAATATAGCGTGCTCATTGGAAAACCATTGGAGTCGGAGTTAGTCACACCACCTTTGGGAATTGATTCTACTTTAATGTTGGCTGAATTTTTGAATGTTGGAAAAGATGAATTGGGAAAAGTTTTAAAAGCAAATCGCGGCACATGTCCTTTTTCATTCCTAAGTCAGTGTTTTGAAAAAGCCACATCTTTTCAAAAGGGCAAAATCTTTTTGTTAGCATTTTTCGGGTTCATGATTTTTCCTCACTGTAAGAATGCATGTAGTCCGTCAATCGCATGGTTGGTCCAACAAGTCTGTCTTGAAAAGAATTTTGGCAACACCATTTTAGTCGAGACTTTCATTTCCCTCATTAAATTTAAGCAACATGTTGACAAAACGTTTCATGCCCCCCTCGAACTTTTGCAAATTTGGTTTTTGTCTCACATAAAAGGGTGTGGCGATTTACTCACAATATCCGAGCTTAGTGATTCTAGCCATCCCATTTTAAGCTATAAAGAAAAACAAGGAAATACACCTGATTATCATTATTCCGAATGGATCATTTTCATGAAAAACGCTAGACCCCAAGGTTTCTATTGGCATGCTAATTGGTTCAAGGTCGAGGAAGCTCGGCTTACGTGTAATGGTGTTGGACCGGTGCCACTTTTGGGCTTCACTGGCGCAATCGAGTACTACCCTGCCAGAGTGTCCCGACAGTACCAAATTCTCCAGGGACTCCCTCCGGCGTTACAACCGGAACTCCTCCGGGTCGACTTTGCCGATGATGATAAAAACCACGAAGGGACCGTAGCTCAGCTCAATAAGATGTGAAAGAAGTGCCGTGTGTTAAAAATAGCTCGGCCCGAAGGAGAACTAAAGGGAGAGCAGAAGTCCTATTTCGCGACGACCCAGTACATTCGACGGCACAGAATCCCACAGGATTTGCTCCCGAAGATACCCAAGGTGCGTCTTAAGTCCGCCAATCGCTCAAAGAACAATCGCCTCAAAAGGAAGGCCGAAGAAGCTGAAGAAAAGGCAGCCAAGATAGCTCGAGCTTATGAGCAATTGAAGAAGGAAGTCGCCTCCCATATGTCTATAGATCAAGCTAAATAATAAGCTCGAAGTTCTTTTCTCATTTCAGTTTCAGTTTTTAAATTTGTTTAGGAATTGAGTCATTTGTCTTTATATTCAGTTCAATTTTAAGTCATTAATTGGTGTAAAAATTTTCACCATTTCAATAAATGGGTCTTTTCAATTCAAAGCGTTTAGACCAATGTCATGGATCGGCGTATGATTTTGCTTGGCACTTATGTATGCCTGTTTCATTCCGAAATTAGGTAACTACGGACCGATCACGATCGCCCATTCATACACGGTCGAGAGCCAGAATGGCCGATCAAACCGACTTGCAAGAGCGTGTTGTTGGTATGGAAGACCAGATGAAGCAACTTGTCATCGCGATGCAACAAATGTCCGCTGAGATCAAAGCTCTTCGGTCGATCCCCTGTTCCGGCATCCCTCGAAACATCAGTCCCAAAGCAGAAAGTTAGAAAAAGTGTCGATGTTGACGGAGATGACGATATTCCTGATTTAGAAGATGACCCCGTCCAGATTATCGACAACAAAGACAAACCTGACGAACGATTCAACAAGCTTGAAGAAAGAGTGAAGCAGCTGGAAGGTTCGCAGGATTCACCTTCGATCGATCTGTCCCTGTACTCACAGATCAAAATCCCAAAGAAGTTCAAAATGCCAGATTTTGACAAGTACAATGGCACCACATGTCCAAAAGCCCACCTGCAGCTCTATCACGTACAGATGACTTCGTATGTTGACAATGAACTCCTGATGATCCATGCCTTTCAAGCAAGTTTGACGGGTCCTGCTTTGAACTGGTATCTCATGAAGAAGATAAATGGCCTCAAAACTTGGAAAGAAGCCAGTGAAGCATTCTTAAAGCAGTACAGATTCATAATGGACATCATTCCTATCCGTGATGATCTCGAACATGCTCAGATGAAAAAAACTGAGTCGTTCAAAGACTATGCTATCAGATGGAGGAATTTAGCTGCTCAGGTTGTCCCAGAACCCATAGACAGTGAGTTGAAGAGGATGTTTGTAAAAACTCTCCCATTCGAATACCATAATCGGATGGTTGCCATTCCGCCTGACAACTTCAACCAACTCATCCCCATAGGCGAACAGATTGAGATAGGGCTGAAAGATGGATGGTTTGTCGAGCCGTCTTCCTCGACCAGAAGATTTGGTGCGAGAAAAGAGAAAGAACCGGCAGCTGAAGTGAATGTGGCTTATAACCAACCGAGCCGGCGGAATACTAACTCCGCCCCAGCAATTCAAGTAGCGGAAGCTCAGCAACAAAACTCGGGTCATCAACCTTTTCAAAGGAGGAACAACAAGAGGCAATTCACCTCCCTCCCCGGGTCGTTGTCTCAAGTATTGGCAGTACTTCAGAAGAAAGGCTTGCTTACTACTGAGCCAAAGCGGCCCAATCCTGAGCGGTTCTATAACTTCGACCCGTCAAAGAAATGTGATTATCACATGGGTGAGCTGGGACACTCAACCGATGATTACTATGTCCTCAAGCATCGAATCCAGAACCTCCTGGACACGAGGGCTTTCTCATTCCAACCCGCTAAGCCGAATGTTCAGAATAACCCACTCCCCGATCACGCGGGCAATGTGAATGCCATTTTTAGCCTCGATGCTGGTCGAATTAAGAACGTCAAGGTGTATACTACGGACGTCTATGGCGAGTTGGTGAAAGCCGGTTATTACCCGAGTAACGAGACCCTTCCCCTGGCTGTCATGAGAGAAAGAATCTCAAGGATGGTAGAAGCTGGGATGATTGTTTATGCTGACCACACTGGCATTGTTTCCACTATTTCTGAAGTGGTTATTAATTGGGAAAAAGAGTTTGCTACATTGAACACCGGGAAGGACAAGTTCAACCCTTTGCTTGAAGACATGCCTCCGCTCGAAGACGCGTCCGATGATGAAGAGATTGTAGTAAGCACGCCTACAGCTGATGAAGGGATAGTGATCGAGATACCTCAACCACATGAGTACAGTGATAATAAGGCGGTCCCTTGGTCTTACAGCCTCGATGTCGACCTGGTTACCAGATCTGGGCGTACCTAAAGCCAAGCTAATGCCCAACCTGCAAAACCTGTTACTAATGAAGAAGCCAAAGAGTTTCTAGCTGTGATTAAGGCTAGCGAATACAACATAGTTGAACAATTGCGCAAGATGCCCGCGCAAATCTCTCTCCTTGAACTACTCCAGACATCTGTCAAGCATCAGAAGGCCCTAATGAAGGTGTTAAGTGAAGTCCACGTGCCAGAAACGATCGATCATGATAAATTGAAGGAATTTGTCGGTTCTATACTCCTCAAGGACCTCATAGCCTTTTCAGATGAAGAGTTTCCTCTGGAAGGGAGGGGGCATACCAAGGCACTTTACATTTCTGTCAAATATAAGGCCTCGCATGTAGCCCGGGTACTCATTGATAACGGATCAGCCTTGAATATCTGTCCTTTGGCGACTTTACACCGCCTCAAGATAGACTTTTCTAGGATAAATTCTGCAAAGACCTCTGTGCGAGCCTTTGATGGAACGAAGAAAGAAGTAATGGGAGAAATCCACCTTGACATACAGATAGGACCAACGATGTTCAACATCCTATTTCAAGTTATGGACATTCCCACTGCATTTAATTTTCTGTTGGGTCGTCCATGGATTCATACTGCGGGAGCTGTGCCATCCAGTCTACATCAGAGGGTGAAGTTCGTTGTGGAGAGAAAATTAGTCACAGTCCACGGTGAAGAGGAGCACCCAATCTACCACGCAACGGCTATCCCCTATGTTGAGCCGGATTGCAAAATAGAATCAAGCTATCAGTCGCTCGAGCTCGTATCAACCATACATGCATCGAGAGGATCATCACCGCCCATTCCTGAGGTGTCAAATGCTGCAGTCATGGTTGGAAGAGTAATGGTGTCCCATGGCTTTATTCCGGGTGAAGGTCTTGGTAGGAATGGTCAAGGTATCCGCCAACCGGTGGAAGTCTCTCGAAGGCCCCACACTACTGGGTTGGGATACCAGGGGTCAAGCGGGCCAAATAATGGGGGACGTGGACATGAACGTGGACGCGGCCGAGGTCGAGGTCGAGGAGATGGATATAATAGACAGCGATCCGAAGAAGAGCCGAATGGAATTACCCACAACAATGGAGAGCTTGGGCATGGTAGGTTGCTTCCACATATCCGCACCACATTTCCGGGCCCTGCAAGAATGATGCATGAAGAGAAAGAGGTGATCGACACTTTGGGGCAACCGAGCGGCAAGTTCGATTTTTATGTGAAATACTCGGCGCCCCCGAGCTTCTATGTTAACCCCTGTGACATTGTCCCGGATGGATGGGGAGGTATGGATGATCCAACACCTCTAATGACAGAAGATTCTGATGATGCAATGGATGGAATCACTACCCTGTTTGATGATTTCTTCGTTGGAGCTATCGAAGAAGAACCGTTAGAGGGAATGGGCACAGGCCCACAAGAGTAAAACTTTTACTTTTTCGCACACTCCCCTGCGTGGGAATTTTTACTGCTTTTTAGGACTTGCCCCGTTTCGGGCGCTGCTTTCCATTTTCATTTCTAGGATTTGATTGTTGCAATTTTCATTCAATAAATGTAATTCATTTTGAAATAATCAATGAAATTACAAGTTATTTTCGTTTTGAGGACATGTTGAGGTACATCAAACCAGCCCGGTGATGATATCCAACCGATAAAAGAAAATATAGTCCAAGGAGAATTCTGAGGCCTGGGCTTCTTCATGTTCCTTCGTGTTAAAATATTTTTGAAAAGAATTTCAAAAAAAAAATAATAATAATTTAGAAAAAATGCAAGGTTTACTCCTGTTTGTCCTTCTGAATCCCTTACTTTATGTTTCAGGGGAATCTTGTGACACGTGAAGGTATGAAAACGGTCTAATCTGATGAATCATGTGCAGCCGAGCTTGATCCCAATGACACCGACGAACTTGACGATTCCTCAGATATTCAGCGCGATCTAGAGCGGCATGAAAGGCCCAAAGTCCTCACATCAGACCAAACTATCACTATTAACCTGAGTGATTCTGGAGAACCCAGAAAAGTGCAGAGAGGGGCAAATCCCCCTGAGAGTGAGACAAAACGCCCCGATCCAGTTGCCGCATGAGTAGGTAAGTCTTTCAACCAAAAAGTGCGTCAAAGACACTTCGAGGTAAATGATCTAGTCCTAAGGAAGATACTGCCAGTTTTTCCTGTTCCTGGGGGCAAATTCGCCCCAAACTACATCGGTCCATACGTGGTTAAAAAGGTGCTCCCCAGGAGTGCCCTGATTCTCGTAGAAATGGACGGTCATGAGTTTTCCACGCCTGTTAATTCTGATGCTGTGAAGACGTATTATCCCTGATAAGATCAAACATTTTTGCGGCAAAAGTTTTCAAGTGTTTGGCTTTATACCTTTGAATTGCAAACATTTCACTGATGAATAAATGGTTTCAACCAATTTCAAGTTAAGATGTTTGCATTGGCTTTAATTTCTGCATGGTTATTTTGTCGATCAGTATCATTGACTTCAAAGGAGAAGTCTATTTAGACAATCTGATAACTCATGTGGAATGACTTGAATGTGTCGAATGAGGTACATCGGGATGATGGAAGGCAAGCCCTATCCTATACATAGTCCCATGCACTAATCCCCAGTGAGTTGAGCGGAAAAATTTCATGTCTGTAAGGTAAAGGGTTATCTCGCAAAAGGTACGGC